ATGGAACTTCAGGCACGCCTTCCATTCCTTTGCCACCTCGTAGAACAAGGTCTTGCCAGGGACTGCCTCATGCATTGTTCTGCAAAATGCAGAAAACATTAGATACAGGTTCCCGAAGTTGCCATGGGGCAACTCACGCATTGGAAGCTTGGTGGGGTCGTGGTTAAATGACAGTTGCGCCGTTGGGCCCATCATCCGGGCATCCACTAGTCGTTGGAGAAGATCCTCCCGTAGCTCATCATCACTCTTCTCTAGCAATGATTGGCCAGCAATCCTTCATAAAGAGACATCATGTGAGGCGTGTGAGGTGGTCCCATGTCAATCCTGAACAAATGCAGCCTAGCTTCGAAGTGCTCATGGACTCCCCCGCTGTCCAGTAGAGGTGGATGAAGAATCCATGGATCATAGTTCTCTTGGGATGTGCTGCTGGGCCTGAAGTAAGAATGGTTCAATCTTCAAACTGAGAAATTGGAAGTAGCAACTGTTTGCTCACTGAGTCGCCATTCAAATGAGTCAGGGATCTCCCATCTTGCCCATGAAGTTGTCGCTTGCATCGCAAAATCCGATGCTTTCCGACCCCCAATAGGGATATCCAGGCTTCCCTGCACAAGGGGTGTCCTGCCAACTGTTTTCAAAGAACCAATTCACAATTGACAAGATGTTGCAGCATGCCAACTCACCCCTAAACATAAACCATCAGTCCTTGCATGGACCATTGCTTACGATTCCCACGTGCTTCTGTTTGAATTGACCAGAGAAGGCAGTCTTGGGCAGTTTTTGAAAGCCGCCAGAAACACTTGCAAATAGCAGCCAGCGTCTTGGCAGGCATTGTGCAGCGGCAAGAACATGAAGGATGTCGCAGGGCACCCCGGATTCTGTCCTTTGACATACCATGTTCTGCAAAGGAGGAAACTTCACTCCCCGGAAGCGAGGCCAAAGCATGCAGAGATTCAAGCCTTTCCAGGGTCAAAGAGACCGTCCCTCCACCTTCATCACTTTCACTCTCCAAATCTGTATCACTGCGGCCACTCTCATCCTCAGGCATGCCCTCCGAGTCAGAAGAGCTCCTTAGCAGGGAGGTCATTGCAGAGATCCGCAATTTAAATGCACTTGCAAATCAAGATGTTGGCTGTCAGGGCACTCTGAAGTTTCATATCGGCGCAATGTTGAGTTCTTCAAGGGCAGTTCATTGCCATCATCAGAGTCAGAGTCCCACCGCAAGAGCACTGGCATCCCAAACAAATTGACAAACAGCTGACAGCCACACATGTTGGCAATCTTGCAAAACTGTAGCTAGGCAAAAAGTAAGCGGCAAAAGGAGGCGCCCCTGACTCAAGGATTTTCTCCATAATCTTGATTAGATCAGATCAGATCAGACCAGCTCAGCCAGTTTTTTTGGGCTGACAGCTGCAAATGCTGCACACAAAGCTGCAGAAATGGAACGGATATGCATCGAGTTTCCAGCCAAGTGGTGTAGTTCCTCAGGCATGAAGTTGGTGGGCAAAAGGGAGGCACAAGAAACAAGGCCCAATGCAATGAACACATGGTTTTGACTATTCTTGCAACGCCCAATCCGGCCAAGATGCCCGATCGCTGTTTTCGTCAAGAACCAGCCGGCTGATATCCATTCCCATCATCAACATAGCTTCACACCCCAAAAGATACCGGCCTTCCGAGGGAATTAAGAAGCTTCCACTGGGCCTTAGGTCAGGACCCCCAGCCACTGCAAAGACTTGAGAGCAACCATGCCGCAAAGTCAACCAAACAAGGTTGTGTGAGTGAATGAGGCCCTTGCGTCAAGCACATCATCTCCTCATCCGAGAGGCCCACCGGCATGCAATGGAGGGACTGGGATGTGTTGACAACCTCCAGGTCCGAGTGCTTGGCCACCAAGAGGTTTAATGCCTAGCACCATGTAGACCAATCGGCTCGGGTGCTTTCCGAAAGTTTGTTTTTGACACACTGCTTGGGCGTTGCTTGAAAGGCCACCTTGAGTGAGGGGATATCTTGCAAGCCAAGCTAGCACTGGATTTTTGCTTGGCCCAATCTAGTGTTGAGACACTCGACCAACGCGATCATGACAGTTTCAAGTCCGACCAACAGATTCAGTGTAATGGCTGCACTCAGGGACAGTCCTCCATCTCACGTGCTGTTGCCACTACTTCAGCAGCTGCAGGATATGTAGTCTCAAACATTGAGCGAGACCTCTTGACATCCACCTGGCAAGGTGGTTTGGTTTGTTTGTTTGTGTGTGTGTGTGTTTGTTTTGAGAGGCGCTTCAAACCCAACCTTGCCTCATGCTTCTTTGCCCATGTGCGGTGAATCCTTATCCACTTCCTCTTTCTGCATACTTTCCTCACCCAAAGCCAATATCCAAGAAGAGACAGTTTGGGCAACAGGCAAAGAAACTAATTATTGGCGAGGCTCTTACACGCATTCCTGGAACGCCGCGCCATGCGTGCTTCACGATCTCTAAGAACAGCTGGGTGACAGCCCGGAAGGAGCAGCTGCTTCCTGACACAACCAGGTTGGCGACACTTGGAAATTGCACGCTGCAAGAACAACAAACTAACCTTCTATAGAAGAGCGCTCTGGATTTCAAACATGGCAAGTCTCCAATTGATCGTGGCTTTCAGGTGCATCGTTTTGCAGCGGTCTGCAATGAACTGTGTGAAGTCCCCACGGGCTGACTCAACCAAGACATCCTGCCGGACCATGATGACAAATATCCGCCTCCGTGAAAGAGGTGCACCAAACCTCCTCCTTAACTTGTTGGCTTCACTCGGTTTGGCTGCCCCTTTATCATGCAAGTCCTCATGATTTGTGATCAAGATGAAACTGAAACCTACAGAAGTTCCAAAAACAGGTCGGTCCAAACATCGCCAAGTCACGGGTTGAGGATGATGTTAGCCATCTCGTAACTGGGCCGCAGGACAGTGTGGCTGCTCTAAGCGGGCATGATTGTTTCACTCAGAATGTCTCACTTGTTGCCAGCCCCTCAAAAAGGTTCCAGGGATGAATCCAAGCCGAAGAACCCAGGGATGTTGGTCGTGATGAGATTGGACACCACCTCCAAGACCCTCTGGAACCCCATCACGTTCTCCAAGATGGCAACCTCAAATAGTCAATATTTTTTGAGGCACCCTGTAAACAAATAAAACAGTGCTTAAAAGGTCAAGTGGCCGGAGGACGAGTCCTCTTGATGTTGCTGATCACCTTGAACAGCTGCCTCGCGTTGGCGTCCCGGAGCATCCGCGAATGCACGTGCAACGAGGAAAAGGGCGTGCAGGGGAAGCCGGCAGCGTAACATGCGACCTTCAGGCAAGGACGGGAAGCAGAAAGAAGAAGCAAGGAACAACAGTGTGGAAGTGGGCGACATCAACCCCCACCCCCCCCAAAAACCAGCCTTCCCGCGAAGCCAGGACACTGGCTTCGTGTGCATGTCATGGCCCAGCCTCAGTATACGTTCATGAATATTGTTTGCAGCGACAAGTTGGCAGCAATTGTCTGCGTTCAGCTTTGAAAAAAGTCAGCCAAGAAACTGTCGGCATGCGAAGTTCGCTTCCAAAAAGCGCCTTGCCGAGGGCTTCACCTCACTTGAAGACCTAGGATTGCAAACAATCAAACTCAGATCTAGTGCCTACAAGCACGTTGAATTACTGCTATATTCAGTCTGGAAACAAGTATTCCACATTGTCCTGCCCAAAGAGCATTCTCAAAGCCATCAGTGGGGCTTCTGCCCCCGAACCTTTGTTGAGGAGAGACGCAATCAAGCAACCAACGATGAGCAACCCCGAGTAGATGCTGCAGCCAAACGACAGTCTGAAGCAAAGGTGATTGGCCGCCCTCCACTGGCAACCCGCCACTGTGGCAGCCACTCTGCCAATCCTGAGTTGAGACAGTAAGGCCGCCAACTGAGCCAAGGTTTCCCTGTTGTAGAGATCAACCACTCTTGGGTAGTCTAGCTTCGGGTTGTCAAACAATGGGGCTCTGGAGGGATTGTTGTCCGAGAGAAAGAAACACCTAGCAGGTTCTGCTTTTTCATGCCACATTTGCAACCTATGCCTTTGGGGTTGTCTCAAAAAAAGGAGATCCATCAAAATTGTAGTTTTCCCTTCCCTTGAAACCCACTCAAAGAAGGTACCCTCAAAAAAGGCAACCCCTCTCCTTTATTGAAAAGACACATGGAAACAGTGTCTGGTGATGATTGATGCAGCTAAAGCTCCACTTCTCTGAATGAAGTGCCCCCCCACATCCAGATACGACAGCTGCAGCTTGGTCAGCTTAAAGCCCTCCTGAGGCAAGGAAGGAGTAAGCATGGCAATGGGGAGTTAACATGGGAAATCAAAACACAGTTTTGCACCCGTCCTCACCAAAATCAGAAGACACCGAGATGTGCGAGCCGCATTCAGACACTGCGCAGCATGAAGATGATGAAGACGTGTCATAGCGTGCAAGCAGAGGCATTGCTGAGCTGATGGAAAGCTATTCAAGGGGATCCTGAGATGAATTGAAAGCTTAAAGGAAATCCTGGAAGCTATTGAAGGGAGTCCTGAGCTGTGTAGAAGTGTGGAAAGCTATTCAAAAAATCCTGACTGAGCTGTAAGGTCATGAAATGCTGAACTGAAATGCTGAGCTGAAAATCCTAGAAATGCTGAGCTGAAAGCCTTAGGGATAGGTCACGAGGAAAGTGCAACCATTCGAGCACTCAACGCCAGCACTAAGCAACAACTCTGCCCAAGAGCCAGATACAAACTGAATAAGCGCCGGTTGCAAGAGAATTGACCTTCAAGTTGTTTTTCCTTTTCCCTTGTCGGTTTTAAACGGATACGTTTTCACTGGGGGTTACATAAATATATTATTGCTTTTCCCAGGGGGCGAAGAAGCTGATGGGCGCTGTAAACTTGTGGGAGGGTTCCCCTGCTAAAATAGACTACCGAAAAAAATGGGCACCCTTATTCTAACCTCTCTACTAATTACAAGGCCTAGGTTTTTTCCAGGAGTTGGCGCGGATCTTCTACGAGGACTCCGCCGTCGCCGCCGCTCTGCGCGAAACTGCGGGCGAGCGGCACCTCTCAAAGCGCCTGAGCGCAGCCTTGCTGGAGGCCGTGCTGCAGAAGCCGAGGCCGGGGCCTCTGAAACTAGAGGTGTTCTTTAAAAGGGCTCCTTAAAAGAGATTCATTTTGCAACCATTTGACTCACTTCCTGAGTTCATGAACTTTAAACTTTTTGGGAAGACCATTTTAGTGGTAAATATAAAGTTTGAACTTTTTTGGGGCCATCCACTCAGCAAGTGAGTTTTAAAAGAGATTCATTTTGCAACCATTTGAAACATGTGGCTTTTTCAACACCAAAAATAAGGGGGAAACACCACCATTTACAAGTTGCAATGTTCAGGTGTTGTCATGCATCCGGATCCCTGATTAACTGGCCCAAATCGCTGTGGCTCAAAGAATGTACCCACCCTGGCGCCTCATGGAAACAAAGACCAAAACGTGCGTAACCCCAGCTGGTTATTTCTGAGTCACACAGGGGTCCTTCAATCAATTCTGCAGTTGCTTCCGTTTGCACCCAAGAATATTGAAAAACACATATATATATATATATTTGTATATATATATATATATTCGATATGTTCCCTTCTTGGTTTGAAAGGGAATCAATTTCGCTACTGGAAATATGGTTCCCAGAAGGCTGAAGCAAATGAAAGATTGCTTCTAAGTCGTTTCTCGTTTCTTTTGCTTCCCCTGCTGCTTTTGAAGGGGATCCACTGCTGGAAATGGTGTGTTTTTGCTAGGGGACTTAAGCAAATGGAGCAAATTGGTCTAAATTTAAGGGTAATTCGGCCAACTACGAACACAATCAGAACATATTCTTTTCTGTGTACCCCCCAGATGCCCAGATGCGGGCCAAGGGGTTTGCGATGTCGCCCATAAAGTTGCATGCCATGGTTGATCCAACTTGTTTTCTTTGTTCTGGCTTAAAAAAATACCCAGATGGATGCCTGGGCTGGTCCCATAGCCTTCTACTTTCAGACTTGGGTGTTGGCTGAGTCAATGTCGGGCCGGGTCCAGTTGGAGCTCAGAAGGCTGAAGAGCCGTTTGAGATTGCTTCAGATCCTGCTAGCTGGAGGAATGCAGGGCTTGGTGACACGGATATCTTCGGACCCTGGGGAGGTTTTCACATTTTGCTGCCTTGGGGGGGGGGGTTGGGTCTGGGGGGGGGAGTGTAATGGTTTATTGTAGGTCCCTGTGACAGTGGGTCCTCGTATCCGTGTTACCTTGCTTTTGCCCTGGAGCTAAAAGATGTGGCCAGAAGTTTGCACAGACTTGTGAGCAAACGCCATGGACCTTAATTTGACGGGCAACCCTGAAACTGGTTCAGTTGTTCGACAGGTCAGAGGAAAAGTGCGTAGCCCACGAAAAGTCTAACTTTTAACCCGTCATAGAGTGGATGGACAACATCCTGCACATGAGAAAGCCACGTTTCTGATGATTCCACCCACGTTTTGATGATTCCCCCATAGATACCAGCAAACAATGGCCTCCCATGGTTTCATTCGTGGTGCGAAATGGTTTTCGTCCATTCACAGTCCGCAGGAAAAAAAAAAGTGTTTACCTATGTCATTTATTTCGAGCTTAGTGATCGTGGGGGTGAGGAGGACAACCACTGATGATGGTTCTTTCCTTGGGCATCCGGTTTGTTATGTTTGAGGTTTTGGATCTGTAAAATTTGCAGATGGGGCTGCCATGAGGGGCAGCTGTTTGAAATCCACCAGCGGCAACAAACAATAAACAAAAGCCCCCCCCCCCCCCGCCGCAGAGAAAGACGGTTTTGGCGTGTTGTTTGATTTGCTTGGATCAGGCACGCATTTAGTTAGTTGTTGTTGTTTTAAACAAGTGTTGTCCTTCTTTCTAGTATTTCGCGGGAAACGGGAAGGGGGGTCGGTGGAGGGAGTCGAAACCCCATGGTATGGGCGTGTCTCAAAAAATTAGGGGAGCCCTAGAGTGATGGTTGTCCCTTGCCGTTGAGACGACAGGAGGGACACTCACAAACAAACACCTGGAGTTTCCACCCTTCAAACAGAAGCGATCCATACCCTGGTGGCTTCATTTTGGCCTCCAAAACCAAACATCGTTTTTTTTAGCTGGTATTTACTTAATGTATCTTCGATTGCATCTTTACATTGTTGTTTCATTGTCTCCAATGAATCTTCTAAACCTGCAACCTGTTTTTTGCAATTGACAAATTGTCTTTCATTCACTTTGTTACATTGTCTTGCAGAACCCAGAGGCCACGCGAGAGACCTGCCGCGGATCCCATGCCCACTTTGCCTTCTCGGGATGTGGTGGACATTGCGCAGGCGCATTGCAGCCTGGACGCAGCGGTGCAAAGTCTCACCGTGTTTTCTTAAAACACACAACTATATATTAATATATATATATATGATTTCTTTAAAATGGAAAACCATATTCTTAGCAACTAAAAAGTTCTGACGTTTTGGCGAATCCACTCAGGAAGTGAGTAGTTCTTTCAAATTCGACAAGGAGCTAGATAATGTCGCGTTAGGCAGCCCAAGAATTTCAACCCCAGTCTATTTATTTGCCCCTTGTATTCGGAACATGGAACCATCCGGCAAGGTCGTTGGGCTGCATTTGGCAGATATATCTTCTATGGGTTCAACATGAGTTTACAACCTGCCAAGGTTGCATAGGCGGCATAGGATCCACCTCCTCCACCCTCCCGAGCCCAAAAGTCCCCTTTGCCCCCATCGTTTTCTTCCAACTAAGGCAGCTGATTTGCAAGTAAGGGCGGCGTTGGGAAATAGGGAGCTGGAGCCTATGAGTATATTGCCTTCAATAGGTGATGACCTTTTGTTTCTGGATCAACTCAGGGCAAGTGAGTTGTTCCTGACTCCTTTACTAACCGTCGCTTCCCCATCCGGGGTTCCACGTTTGGACTATATAAGGAGAACTTAGCCCCAGGCCTTCCTCTATAGAGCAAATCAAGCCGCCTGGGTTCGCCTCTTTTCCCCTTTGGCTTGGCTTTCCCGTTCTACGCTTCATGGCCCCCCAAACGTGTTTTCCGGGTCTTATTCTCCCTTCGGGGTTGGTTGCATCCGTGTTGCCACCGGATTTCCAAGATATCAGAAGCAACTACCATAGTGGCTTGCAAAAGAAATCCACTGGTCCCCTTTTTGCAATTTCCTGGATCCTCAAGCTACCCCTGAAAACGGGAACGTCACCCCATAGTTTTGGGGCAACTCATTTTCAAGTTGGTATGTTGAGGGTCCGGGCTCGCGGTTTCACAGCGACAACTCCTTCCCAAGCAACTTGTCAAGGTAGCAGCTACCTGAACATGGCCAAGCGGATGCCGAACGGCTGGCACTTCAAATCCGTCTGCCCCACCACGGTGCATGGCGCCAACTTCCGCACCTTTTCGGCACAACTTCGTCTCGGCTCGCTCGGCTCGCTTATCGTGTTTGAGTTCGCTTAAGAATATTTGGATTTGTTCCTTTTGATTTTAGCAGGAATTCATCACTACTAGATTTTTTCCTGGGGGCCTCAACCAAATGGAAGAGTTGGTGCCCTGTGTGGGATGCCAAGAGTGTCTATCTGTTTGACGGTTTGACCGAAGGGAGACCAACAGGAACCCAACCATTTCGGAGGTGCCTTTGCCTGTCCTTCAAAATTGGTTTCAAACATCACCTCTTTCCCCCGAGGTAATATGTTTTCCACATTTGTAAGTTTCATCTTCTCCCCATTTGGTTTGCACCTCTGAGGTAAAAAGGTACTCACAATCTTTGGGGTGATGTTTGAGTAAAGGGGGAAACATAGAGCGCTGTTCAAAACAACTTGTGACTGAAGCTTCCCATTCTCAGGGAGTCAGGGGCAAAAAGCTGACGTTCCTGATGTGGAAGAAAGTCTACTTGGATATGTTTTTTTGCCGGTGCCCTTGCTTTTGGGTTTTAAAGGGAAACCAACAGGAAAACAACAATTTTGTGTGGGTCCCGTAAAACAAGAAACCCAATGGTTCATTTCCCTAAAAGGCAAACCCCTGATTTTTAGTCTACCGCGGGGTAATCCAAAAATGGAACCCTGGCTATGCCTGCTTTTGGAGTTTCTACACCGTCCTTGTCCAGCTGCAGGTGAGCCCAACCTTTTGGCGGGTTCGGGGCAAAGGAAGCCGTAGCACGACAATTTGGCCCAAGAGTTTTTTGATGATTTTTGAACGGGACAGACGCACCCTACTTGCAGGTTCGTAGCCATGGTTGTAGCCATGGTTAATAGCCAGGGGTCTAGCCGGCTGTAAGTTCCCACTCCGCGAGTTACAACCAGGAAGATAAACCACTTGGCACTTAAGTATGGGGATTTTCAAGAATTGCTCAGTTCTTCAGATTGCGAATCGACCTTGCGACCTCTTCATGGTTGTTGTTGGGAAGCATTTTACATTTTTGCTTATCGTGGTTTAGTGGGAAATCCCCACTTAACTGCTAAATTTATTTTTTTTGCTCCTGGTTTTCCCATGTTGGTTCATGTTTCGCCTAGGTTCCAAAAGGTGATCGCCTTTTGTTTCGTCCTACGCCACTGCCCTATGGTCTTTTTTAGAAGGGGACCCTGGGTTCAGGCCCTCATCCCCGAGCACCACCAGTAAACTTCACTGTTCTTGGCATGGTTTTTTGTTGTTTTTAGTTTTTGGGTTCTGTTCATTTTTACTGGGGGTCTGCGAAAAACTGTCAGTTTTTTGCTACCATGCCAAGAGTAGAGATGAGCCTCCAAAATGGACTCCCTCCCCCTCCTCTCCAGGGCTTATTTGGGCTTATTTGGGCTTCCCCAGCCTCCCATAACAACAGGTAAGGGGCAACTGAGCTTGAGTCCTAGGTATGATGGACCACTTGGCCACTGAGACCGCGCGAATCTGTGAGAAGCTCCAGCTTCCGACCGACGCAGTGTCCGCTCGCTTCATGGATGACTAGGCTTACCTTGTTAAGTTTTGGCATAGGTGTTCCTTCCCTTTCCCGTTTAGCCAGCAAAGCGTTCTCACTTGCCTTGACTGTTTGTTTTTGGTTTGCCTTTGTGGCTATCCTGTACATGTTTCGGAGGTATGGATGCTTACATTCACATATTACTAGCATACAAGCTTGCAAGGCAGTATGTACGCTTCATGCCAGTGGTATCCGTACCTCCACGCCTGCCAATCCGATACCTGAAAAAGCCAACTTGATTCTTAGATGCCTTGGATCCCTCCCAGTCAACCAAGCGGTCACCTTTGGGACAAAGTGAGGCTTGAGCTATGCCTTCTTCAACACCTATGGCGCAAGTAGTCGGGGCCCCAGGTAAGCCAACGGCGGGCCTCCACTGCATTCCATTGCAGCGGACACAATCCACTTCACACCAGTTGGGATGGTTGAAATCTCCCGACCCCAAAGAGATATGGAAATTGGGGGAGGGGGACAAAAAGACCCCTGGAGATCTCCATTTATGGGTTCTCCCGTCTTCTTTTTCTGCAAAATACTCGAAAATGGAATTGGGTCCCGGACCCCACCTCCCTCCCCCTTTTGGGGGGATGCTTGAAACGTTCATGAGAGATAAATTTAAACCTACCAGGAGTTCTGTGGGCCGGTCCTTTTTGGGCACCCGAAAGGTACAAACTTGACCTTCGTGGAGTCGATCTGCAGTTCGGGTCGAAGCAAGGGAAAAGCCTTGGAAACGCGTTTCAGGCAGATTGGCCTTGTTCCATTTTTTTCCGAAGGCGCTCCAGAGGATAACATAAGGACTGCAACAAAAACGAGGGAAACTAACATGGGAGACAAACGGCAAGCCAAAGGAGTTTGTGTTTTTGCCACCACGCTCTTGCTCCCCTAGACTTAGATTGTGCTTTTTGTTTGTGCTGTTTCTTTTTCTTTGCGGTTAAGCCAAGCATCAGAAAGCATGTTTTTTTGTTTTTGTTTTTTGTTTTTTCGTGGAAGAGGGGGTGTTTTCTTCTATTTCTTTTTTTCTTGGGGGGGGAGCCTGGCAAAAGTTCTGTAAGACAAGAATGGCAGGCCTTTGACAATTAGATCGGGAGGTTGGATTTGATGCTCGGTTTTCCTTAGACCAGTTCTACTCTATCGAGTGGGAGCAAACCAGGGAAACCCGCAGCTGATTTGGTCCAGCTCATTTTGGGCTTCCAGCTTGCGGCTCGGCCCGAATTGGATTGCACAAGCCTCGGGTGATTCAAAATCAACCCGCCCGAAAGGTGTACTGGCCAACCTTTTTTTTTTTTGGGGGGGGGGGCTGCCCCACTAAAAAATGGTCTTCCCCAAAAAGGGTTCCTTTTTAGGCATTTCGGCTCCACAGCTACTTGCCTCAGGGAGTTGTGCCCCCAGTCAGGGCTTCGCTAGGCATCCATGTGCCGGTGAAGCGTCCACCAAGCAGCTTGCCATGCTGCAGCTTCGTTCTCTTCTTCAACGTGGAGGCCCCTGCCCTACTCGGATTTGCTGGCAACTGTTAGGGTGGCGCGTGCTACGGTCTGGCGTGACTTTCCTATGTGTCATGGCCATCTACCTCATCCAGGTGGGCAATTTCTTCTTCTTCGAGGTGACCGCTTTTGCCTTTTTGCACGACGTTGTGCTGCTTTGGAGTGTTCCACTTGCTATGGGTAAGTGGCCAAACTCCTGGAGTGTATCTTGTGGGTCAGGCTACCTCCTTGCTGGATTGTGTGCAGTTTTTGCGGCAGTTCAGACTCCGTGCAGATCTACAGTGGTGCGGGCAGTCCTCTGCTTGCTGATAGCAGGTGCGACTTCTTCTACCCTTCCTGTGGCACCTTGGCTACTTCCAGTGCTGTCACTCTTCGCTGCGAGTGCTGTTTGCGCGCGTCAGAGCCTCCTCTACCAGGCGATTGTCCTTTCTTCGGCTCAGCAGTATACTTCGTGGTACCCGTGAGGATCCCTTCCTGCCTTGCGTGCGCCAATCCCTGCTTTGGGGATGGCTCTGTTCGGGTATAGCCCCATTCTCTGAACGCCTTCCGGCGAAGGTGCTGCGTTGTGCTAGTCTCGCAGTTTGGATGCCTGGTTTTGGCCCGCTTTGCGTGGCGCTTTGTGCGGCCCTGTTGTTCCCAACTTGCTGGGAGGTTTGCGGATTTCGTTCTGTGCGCTCCTGACCATCTGATTCAGCGAGCTATGGGCTTTCTTGGTTGCTCGGTTCTGTGGGGTGGCCACAGGGATGTTGCAAAGCTCCCCCGTGGTCAGTTGGAGCCTCGGCTCTCCACAGGGGCATTGCCCCGTGTCTGGGCCTTTTTACCGGTGGTTGGGCAGCATGCCCAACTCACCTGCGCAACCGATCGGGGGAGCGCCACGTGCCAAAAAGGTTCCCCTTATTTCCAGGGTCACTGAACAACTGAGATTATGTTGCCACTGTGATGCTCTTGATGTCCCCTTGGCACCCCGGATCAAACCTTGAGGGCTATAATTAGTAAGGGGCTGGAACAAGCACAGTTTTTGTCTTCCATACCAAGTTGGCATTTGTTTCTGTGGTTTTTGCTTTGAGAACCTCCACAAGTCCCATTCCCAATCAAAACGCGTCTCTTCGCAAAGTCAGGCACCGCTTCGGAGAACGCGGACTTTGTGGCGGCTGCTTGGAGCAAAGCGTTTTTGCTTTTTCTCCTCCTGACGCTGATTCGAAGCACTTGGCTTTTGCCTATGGCTGTTGCTCAAAACACCGGTACGAAAATGGAACCCTGGTAAGTGGAAACATGGACCAAAGCCTGCGGTTTGCCCCTCCAATCTTAATTTTGAGCCACATTATGAATCGACCGCATCCGACTATGCAGATGTCTCCCTTCATATTGTCAGACAATATGTCTGGCCTGTGGGAGGTTGCGCCATTACCGAAATGTGGGCCCCATAAGAAATCAACCCCAGTCTATAGTTCCGGGGTGTCCCCGGGCTTTTTGGGGTTTTAAGGGAAACCAAAGGGACGCCCTCGCCAGACACACACATACCCCAGAACATCTCAGCAGTTTCCAGCCCCGAGCTGAGTGCAATGACTGACCCTGGCAATTGTCATGACTGCAGACAAAAGCAACCGCATCCAAGAGGGGGGGCATAGGTGTCCTTTAATGGCCCTGGTTCTTACCTCGTGGTTTAATCATCTACCATCTATTTCCCCTACAGGGACACCTATGAGAGGGTTTTTATATATATATATATATCCCTTTTTGGTGGTTTTAGATATCACCTTTTTGGCCCATACAAGGTGAGTGCGTTTCTTGGTGGGGGTGATGTTTTAAGGGGAAGTATAGGGAGCCCGTTGTATCGCAAAGCCTTGCTTTCATTGAGGGAGGAACAGTCTTCCAAACGCCAATCTCCATGTCAAATTGTGTTTTGGAATACAACCGGCAATGATGGAAATAAATCACTGTTTGGCACGTTAGAGGCACTTCTGTTGCTTTGCAAGAGGTAGCCCCTATTCATCACCAAGTTGAAAAGTCCAGGGTCGAAATTGTGAGGGGTTTACAAACTAGACTGCTATGTCATGGGCCTGCTTGAGGCACACCTATAAACGGCTTATCCTTGGCTTTTGGGCTTCTTCAGGGACAGGCCCCGCCTCTTGCCCCTCGTCCATGGTTCCTGTCAAGGGAAGCCCTCAAATTTTGAGTGGATTCGATTTTTTTGGAAGTTGGCCTGTCCTTGGCTCACTTGCCTGAGCTCCTGGACCTCAGTCACTTTTTGGTAAGCGTTTTAGTTGCAAACAAAGTTCGGACCTCTGGCCAATCCACTCGATCGGAAGTGAGTTTAAGTGGTGGACCAGTGGTGGCAGAGTTCCAAAAGCTGGGAATTCGATGTGTTCAAGCTTCGTCCGAGAGGTGGCGCGAGCCTGCCAAAATCAGAAAGCCGACATTTGAGCAGCGTTCTATGGATTATCGCGGCCTCCTTTAGTCAGGGGGCCAACATGATTCCGACAAAGCTGCAGGGCGCAGGCGCGCAATCTCGCGGAAGGTTTGCGAGTAGCTTCCTCCGCGGAAGCTCTGCAGAAAGCCCCTGGCCTCCCAAGAAAGCTCTAAGTCAATGCCGCAAAAGCAGCCTCCAAACCTACGCGGATTTTCGCGGGACCCACTGGAGGCACGCGCGCGACGCGCGCAGAGAAGCCCGGGCGCACAATAAGCGCTGGGGCGCGTGAAAAAGCACGTCAAAGCTCAGCAACGCATGGGCGCGGTTCGGCGGAACCTGTAAAACGCCAAGAGAACAATCGCGACGGTATACAACACGGCTCATTTGAAACAGCGCAGCGCGCGGAAATTGCTCTCTGTTGGTTTGTGCTCTTTGGAATCTGTCAAAGAAGGCCCGGTCACCCCCCAGGTCTAGAATTACTAGAGTCGTGGAGGGGGGGAGGAGAAGGCAGAGAAACTATAGGAGAGGAGTCTGAGAGGAGGGCAGTTTCTGGACATCGTTATGGTGTGGTCCACGCTGTAGACGCACCCATGGAGCAACAAATGATGTACGCCACGAACTGGCTATTATCCTGGGGGGTTTAGTGTAGCCTCTGTCAAAAGTGGGAGAGGGTTATGTGTACGTACAAAAGTAAGTATTCAATGTTTCCAGGACCCGGGTGACAGCATTTCTGTTCCAGGGGGTTTATCAAGCCCGTGAAGCTCAAAGCCGCCCGTCTTCGAACTTCCAAGATACGGTTTTTGCCAGGTCTGGCTCGACCCGGGAGGCCTGTTCCCGGAGGCAGGCGTTGCCGAACCACCCCTTGTGCAAAGCACCGGCAGGGACCGCCTCCCCACCCAGCGACCTTCCCGACGTCCGAAGTCCGAAGCCAGAAAAGCTTGTTTTGTTTGCACCAAGATTTGCAGGCATCGCACCTCCCATTTCGGCTGCACCCCCTTGACTTCCGCAGGTCAGTCGATATTTTCACCGTGGAAGTAGATCGCCTCAATCCTACGTCGCTTTAGGGGTCCTTTATTGAGACAGCCTTCTAGGCGGTTTTCCACCAAAAAGGGCCACCTGCAACCCAAAAAGCGGTGGCCCAAGCTCCGGGTCTCCGGGTCTCGCCAGGCGGAGCAAACGGCGGCGGAGCTGTGGTGCGCCGTGGCGGAGTTGCACCGCCGGATGCCCGCAGAGCACACGCGCATGGCGCTGGAGTGCGCAGCTCAGCTCGCAGGCGGGTGGCGAGGGCGTGGACCCACAGGCTACACGGAATGGCTCGGCTTGGAAAACCCGATTTTCTTGAGCGCCTTCTGTGGGGAAGGGACCTTTAGACTGTAACTTGTTGGTTGAATTTTAGAGGGTTTCTACGAATTGAACCCACAAATTATCATGTTCAAAGCAGGCCGAAACGCCTGAAACAAAGCCAAACAGCAAATCTAAACCATCAAGCAGAAGAGTCAAACAACGAACACGGACTTCCCCTCCACTCCACTCACATGGAGCTTGTTCCATGGCAACGTGGGCTGGAGGTCAGATTTGGAAACCAAACTAATGTGAACATGGAAGCTATAGGTTCGCCCTTTGGAACCTTTTGCTTACCCTGGACGAACAGCAGCCCCTCTAAATGGTGTTGTTTTTTCCTTTTGGTTCCCCATTTAAGGCCACCACCCTAAAAAGGACAAAGCACCAGGGGAGTACAAGGCCATCCTGGAGATGCCATCAACCACAATCGGTGATTTTTTCCTTTTGGTATTCCCCTAAAAAGGACAAAGCAGGGGAACACACACACACCCAAACCCCCACCCCCCAACCCCCCCCCCCCCTCCCACCCCCCTTCACGCTTTCCGCAGGCCCAGGGGATGAGCGCGTCTTGGCGGCCGCCTGCTGGACCGCGGGGCATCAGGACGCCGCGGTGAGGGATCAGGCCCTGGAGGCGAGCCCACCGATGGCTCACCGAGCGGAAAGGAGCTCAGACTGCAGGTCCTTGGGGAATCTCCGTTGTCCAAAGCGAATCGACCGGATCTGACCTTTCGGTTTTTCCCATTTTGGCACCCATTTTTAGTCGAGGTGCCAAAAGGTTCACCTTTTAGTTCTGGGTCCCTTTGGGCACCTGAGGAATCCTTACTTGAGGATTTGGACAGTGGATGGAGGAAATCCACTTCGCACCACCAGGAAAACCCTGCAATAATGGTTCCCCTGTAAATACCAGCAAACTATATGATTTCCCATGCTCTCAAAGTGCTGCAAGATTTCGTCCATCCACAGTATTGTAGCAAGTGATAGAAACTGTACACGGGGCCCTAGGTTTCCTTTAAATGATGCAAGTGCGGAAAAAGTGGAATGTTGCCATGAATTCTGAGAGGGGGTTTCGGTTTGGACCATATTCCTTTGAAAGGTGCCCCCTGTCAGGTTCCATGTTAATTGCTGGGAGGGCATATTGTTTTGCTCCATGAAGTTGCCAATGTTAAGCCCAACTGGTCGGTGGCACCCCTGTGTCTTTTTTGATTTTCCCACTGAATTTCAGAATCCACCCAGAAAGGCGTCTTGCGAATGTAAATGTGCGTTTGCCCCGCTCTGCCTGAGTGCGTTTCTCGCACTCAGGAGGTCACCTGTTGGAATCTCTGGCATTTTGCCAACTTTGATTGAAAGAAAGTGTTTTCTAGCACTTGGGGTCTTGTTTTCCGCGAAACATCCCTGTTGGGCATCCCGGCCTCGGCAACTTGAATACTCAGGCGGCTTTCTTTGTCATAGTCTATGCGAAGGTTAATGCGGACCCATCAAGCTGCCCTTCAAAATGGGAAATCGCCATACCACACCCTGAAGGGGACCCCCCGCAATTTTAGGAGGTGTGTTTGAGGGTTCGGGTTCCCAGGCAAAGTTATATGAAACAGCTTTGTTTGAGCTTTTTGGCTCCTTCTGGAGGCCCGTGTTTTCGGTTTTCCGCAGGCGTTGCAGCGAGTGGCAAAGGCAGGCGCGCGACGGAATTTTCCGGAGGATGAGCCAAATGAGGCTACCAAATTCTTCAGCGGCCATATGAGTCACAATCAAAACTCAAAACCCGGGTAATTGGAGGGTAAGGGACAATCCAAACCAGAACTGGGTGCGGATATCCACCGTTTCAATTCTTCACAGGGTTTTGGGTTCACCGCCAGGCTTTGCTTATTCCTCCTAATATGGATAACATCTTTTCTGTTTTGTTCTGGGGCGCTAAGGAAAGCTGTCCAAAGAAAAGACCATCATTTCTGCAAGTCTTGGCCGAGATGACTCAGATTCCACCCCCCCCCCCGCCGCCCTGGTGAACACAGAGGTTTTAAGAAGGCCTTGGACGTGCCCACCCCCTGCTCGATGTTCCTGTGTTCCAAAAACCCTGGCCCTACACCCAATTAGTGGTAAAACCGGATATTTGGTTCAGGGTGTGAAAAACTAACTATGGGCCACCTCAACTCTTAAGGGGGGGGTGGGGGGGGGACGTGGACAAACACGTCAGCAGTCTACGGTCCATTTGCGAGGGGACTGTGGGGGCTGTGGGGGGCTGTTTGTGCTTCTCACAACCTGACGGAAACCCATCCTTCCATGGCTCAATTGGGGTGTGCCTTGTTTTTAAAAGGCAGCCCTTTCTGGGTGGTATTTCAAGGGACACCACAAGGCCAAAAGGACTATCACCATTTATGTCTTTCCTAAAAGCTTCCATTTGCTTAAGCCCCCTGGAAGAAATTAGAAATCTTTCCAGTAGTGATAGATTCCCTTTAAAACCGACAAGGGGAAAGAACACAAAGAATACATTTCAAGCAAATCTCCCCAGTAGTGCCCTTGTACCATTTGTGGGGGGGAGAGTTCCCCTACTAAAATAGACTACAGAAAAAAAGGGTACCCTTATCCTAACCTCTCTACTGGAGGACCTAGAAATGGAAGAAAGAGAGAGACCCAACTGTTGCTTTCCCCTAGCTCCGGCGCTGAAGTGGAGGCGAGCCAGCTTCCAGCGATCGAAGACATGCTGCAGCGCTGGTGGGCAGGGGATTGCCATGCTCGGCGCATTTCAGCTGAGATCAAGGCATTTCTGACATCCTAGGCACGGCTTGAAGTCCTTACTCCCTGAGTTGATGGCCTTTACTCGCTCTTTTGGCTTGGGAAGGCCATTTGAGTGCACAAAACGTGTGCTTGCTTCTTTGACCAGGAAGTGAGACTCATGCATTGAAGTCTAGTTGGTCTCTAGATCCCAGTTGTTCAATGACGCCCTGCCTTTGTTTGGGGGGTTCACCAAAAATGGACTCAACCAAAAACACGGTTTCTTGGTTCTCCCAGATTCACTGGGCAACTGGGACATGGGACTGCACAATTATTTCACTTGGCACTTTAGCTTCTGACATTGCATGTCAGGCCACGGGGTGCCAGTTAGGTTCGATCGAGCTGAGACCAAGCTGTTCAGAGGGTCCCTGCAGTGTGTCGAGATGGCGGCTTTGTACAGATGCCAGCCGTGAGGACATACAGCTTCAGCCTCTCAGTGATCTCAGCGAAAGATGCGGCAAGAGCTGCGGGATCGTTTTGGGATGCAACTTCTTCCCTACCAATTGGAATGAGGTCTTAGTCAGGTCTTATTTCGGTCGCCCCATCGCACCCGCCATAGTGCGACCCAAACAAACACACTCTGCACCCCAAAAAGATGGGAGTCTGCCCCAAGCTGCGGTCAAGGCTTGGGAGAGACATCTTTTCCATTGGCTAAAGTGAGCAAAGAACATTACATCCTACTCCCCTGCGAACCTACATGGAACCCCAAGAAGGGCCCCCCAAAAGGGATTCCTCTAAAAGTCGCGGGTGCTTCTTGCTTTGGAAGTAGAATCCTACCCTCACTGGAAGTGCGCAAATTTCTATAAGCCGACTTACTGGGGTCGGTGAACTTCCGTGTTGGTGAGAGGCTAGCTTTACGTGCACCGAGGTCGTGTTTGTTTTTTGCATTTGTTAGTGTGACTTCCTAGGTCCCCTAGTAGTGCCCTTTCTCACCCCTTTTTTTGGGGGAGGGTTCCCGTGCTAAAACAGAATACAGACAAAAGGGTACCCTCATTCTGACCTATCTACTGGAGGACCTAGTTGGTGAGATATAGCTTTACGTTCACCGAGGTCGTGCTTTTTGTTCCGCGTTTTTTTGGGTGTGATTCACAGATGCATTTGGCCAATCGGAAGGTCCGGGTCGACTCCTTTTGCCATCACTTCAATGGGGACCACTTTGGACCGCAGGCAACCCATGGGCATCAATCACTACATGAGGCCAAGAATTAGCATTAAGCACTCTGCGTGGACCCCAGAAAACCATCCTTGTTGAAGCAATCTCTTTTTTAGGGGAGCCCCTTTTTGGGTTTCATGTTGATTTTGCAGGGGAGTAAATGAGCTGGTTCCTCGTGTTTGCTTTCAGCGGGCAGCTTCGCTTGATCCATTCGTCACTCTCCCACTTGCCCAAGGCGAATCGACAGTCCTTTCACCTTTTGGTTTTCCCTGGGTCTTTTACTTTCCGATTTTTTGGGTTTTCCGAACTGAGCCACTGAAAGTGAGTCACTTTTAGCAGGGGGGCAGATTTCGCAACCGAGGTTTGATAGGCAGGGAATGAGTTGGAACCATCCCTCCATGATGGCTCCAGCAAGTCCACGGGCCCAAAAGGCGATCACCTGAGGTCACCCAGCTAGGTGCCCGACCTCTCACCAACTTTTTTTGGTTGGGAGGGTTCGGGACCCTACTAAAATAGCCTATAGAAAAAGGTTGGTACCCTTATTCTGACCTCTCTGCTGGACCCAGTTGAATGTCTCCGGGGCAACTGGGTCAACCTTTGCCGTCCACAACTGAACGGATCCCCTGGCTTGGAGTAAGAATCCAAGAACGGACACCGAAAGTGTATCCAAGCCGCTTGGGTCCAACGAAAAGGTGGCCCCGAAGAAAAGCCATTGGGAAACCTACAAAATGTTGGTGGCTCCCAGCCATCCCCTTAGTTTTTGTTGTTTTGTTTTTGCTTTTTTTGGGTTTAGTGGGGGTGTCCATGAGCCCACTAAAAGTTGTCGACTTTTACCCGGTGAAAACGGACAGCCCAGAAAAACATATAAGCTTTTTTGTAAAAATATGTTGTATGTTCCCTTGTTGGGTTAAAAAGGAATTTATCACTTCTGGACATATTTTTCTTCTTTCTGTTGGCCTCAACCAAACGGAAGGAAAGGGCCACCTTTTGCCCCGGAAGTGGCTTCCCTGCCAGGTCTTTCGAGTCGGCGAGCTGAGGTCTCCGATTCGATGCCAGGGCTGCAGAGACATTTTGGACACCCCAAATTGGGATAAATTGGGCCTAATGGAAACTTTGGTGCATTCTGCTTGTAGGACTTGAACTTTTTGCCAACTATGCGTTTGCATCACGGTTGCAGCCAATGGCCGTCTCACTCGCTGGCCAGGGTCTGGTGTAGGCTGAGAGGGGTCTCATTTCCTGAGTTTCTGGATTTTAAAAGCAGCATATTTTGAGAAGACCATACCAGTGGCAAATAACAAGTTTGGACTTTGGCGAATCCGCGGAGGAAGTGAGTGCCTCCCAAAAGGGGAAAGCTTGCCGGTGCAAAGGTGGGGATCGACCTTCCGGGACGGTTTCGATTTCTCATTCCCTGCCCCTCGAACCGATGGCATGGACCCTCAAACTACCATAGGGAGTTTACCCCATATGTTTCAGGCTACAACCCATCCTTAAGGAAATTTTGAGGGTTCAGGTGGGCACCAGTCTTGGGCGAACTTTCAACCCTCGCGTGATGTGTCATACTGTGGATGGTTGCGAAATCCATTTCGGACACCACCTAACAAACCCTGGTGTCTGATGATCCTCCTGGTAAATACCAACACACGTGGTGTCAATCATGGTTGCTTAGGTGGTGCGAAGTGGATTTCGTCCATCCACAGTAGGACAAATCATGACACATGGTGACACCTATCATGTTTCGGGCACCGCACGGGGGGACCAAGGGTGTATCACCACGATGTGCTGACAGTACCGGGCCGCGGGAAAAAGAGGTGCTGTGAAAGAGTTTGCGATTCGAAGGTTTCCGCCTCCAACCGGGCTGGGGAGAAAGTGGTAACTACCAGCCATCACATTCGGGGCAAAGCATAGCAAAGGCACGTGAACGGGAAGGACGTCACCGATGAACGTTCCTTCAGAAGATTGCCTTTAAGTCAGCCTGTGAATAATTCCAGGTCCTCCAGTAGTGCCCTTTTGCCCGTTTTTGGGGGAGGGATCCCTACTAAAATAGACTACAGAAAAAGGGTATCCTTATTCTAACCTCTCTACTGGAGGACCTAGACTTGCAATTTGGCCAGATCACGAGGAGTCCATTTGTTGGGGAGTTTCCTTTCGCTCCCTGCGTGTTCCCTTCAAAAGGTCAGCTTTTGCTAGTGGGCCCCCTTCCTAAAATCAACCAGCCCCAAAAATGCCTCCGGTTTCCCCTGGTTTGCTTTCTTGATGTCTCGCCAACGAGGTCTTTTGTTGCGTGGTAAACAGAAGAGCACCAACCAGATGCCAGGGGAGAGTATGGAAGAGATTTCTTTATGGCTGGCCCCCTGTTTCGGTCAGACCAAAGGAACCGCCAGGCGGTTTGAAGTTTTTGAAGCCCCCAGCATCGGAACAAAGGGGCGACAGGGCGTGTCCTTGCTCCTTGGTGGTTTAAACGCCCTCCGGTTCAACTTGGGCTGTTTTTAGTCGTTTTGGTCGGTTGAGTGTTCGGGTCTCCGTCTTAACCTCTGAAGGTGGTGGACTCTTTGGGGATCAGTGGGGACATCTAGCAAGTTCCTGGACTCGCTACTGTTTGAGCTACCATTTTAGCGGCATGCACAAAACGTGTTCGCAGACTTTTTTCCTGCCAATCTGGAGCGGAAGTGAAGAGAAGTACTTTAGAATTGCTGGCAGTGTGGTCTCTTTATTTCACAGTCGGAGGTTCTCCAGTGATTCCATTTCCGGTAACCAAGGAAACCATTTGCTTAAGAATATGGTTTATTTTGCCTTGCTGGTTTTAAAGCGAATCTATCACCACTAGAAGTTTTCTTCAGGGGCCTTAAGCAAATGGAAGCAAGGGAGCCAGCCTTCAAAGCCCAACCGGAAAAGTGCCGGTGAGGTTCACTGAATTGTGTTCAATCCATGTGGCCAGCGACCTCCGGTCTCCGGGAAAAAATGCGTTCGCCCATCCCAGGCAATTCACTTTTGGTTTTCTGCCAAGCCTGGGGACAACGCCGGGTTTGTTTGAGGGCCTTGGGTGTTTGGCAGCTAGCCTTATCTCTAAAAAACGGTTAGGATGCACTTTTCGGGGATTTCACCGCTGTTTGGTCCTTTTTTAGTCATCTGCTTAGTACTTTCAATATTCTACAGGGGATGGATCCACAAAAGCCACATTCAAAGCAGTTTCCTAGATGACCCAGTGAGTCCACCTCCCTGTAGGGATCCGAGTTGGAACTGCCCGATAAAAACAAAAAAAGGGGACAATGGCGAAGCGTTACCTACTGTAGTAAGTAGCTTGCCCGGGATCCACTGGGTGAACTGAATTTGTGGTTTGGGAAAGGCACCCCCTAATGTCCACCAAGCCAAACCACCAATTAACAGGGGTAATGTGATTATTGGTTCGACAGGTTAATTTCTCCCATTCTTTGAGCACGGCACCAGGCTCCTGTGGCTCCCTGGGGAAGTACAACTAGAATCACAAAGGGTAACAGTACCCGTGGGCCGCCCCCAACCTGCAACGCAAAGTGGACAGGAATTGAATTTCCTCCAAAGCCTTTCTTTTATTGGAACCCACACAGGCCGGGGGTCGGGGGGTTGAAGTAGCTTGGGTCAATGCTGTTTGGACGCAGTTTGGCTCGACGCGACGAACCTTGGAACTCTGAGTTCCATCGCCGAACCAGCGTTTTGTTTTTGTTTCTCCCCATTTCACCTGACGTTTCACCCAAATCGGCAGCGACAGCTGCTTTGACCTCGGCCAATGTCCGATGGAAACACGGAGGAGGCAAGGCATTTGCCCGGTGAACCCAGTTCATTGAGACGGCTTATGTTTCCCTTTTCGGGGTGTGCTTTCTGTTGAGGGTGACCCATGTTCAATGGTTTTAAACGGAAGTCCAACGGAACACCGCCCCAAAAAGACAAGGCACGCCCTGTTTTGGTGGCCCCCCCTGGTCCACCGTTCCGGGGTGATTTTGAGGTGTCGTTGGACCGGGACTCGGGATGCAACAAACACGGCGGAACACAAAGTGTTCAACCAATTCAACCAGGGGGTGAGCGACAAAGCAAATCAAAGACATCACGCATCACTCCCGGAGTTCTTTTTGGAGTTGTCTCAGGTTGTGCGCTTTGGAAGGGGTCCTCATATTTACACGGCTTAACAGCACCCGGGTGGGTTCAGAATCCCTTGACTACACGGTCTCACCCAACTTATGAAGATATTCTTGTTTTTTGCTTGTTGTGGTGTCCCACTTGCGGATTAGGATAAGATCCGTCCCCTTGAAGAACCGATAGTTAAGTGTGCCGCCATTTGTAAGACGACACTTCAAAGAGCTTAACCATCGAGTGCCTACCCCCAAGTGAGCAACAATCAAAACCTGCTGGGTAGATGACTTAGTAAGGGGCACTTTGTTACATGGTGTTGAGTAAACAATGTCAATACCAGGTTTAGCTAGTGACTCTTTTGGGCAGCAAACACTTGCTAGCTCAACAGGCAGTGAATGAGCGAATTCGTGTGGTTTCGCTATAGCAACCCAGTGATTCCATTTTCCACTATGGTAGGCAACCAAGGGAACTGCCCTTTAAACACCAAACAGACAATGGCTAGTTACCTACTAAAGCGATAACTGGGATTCACCGGGTACGGTTTTGATTGTGACTCACCAAGCCGATTGAGGGTAGAGCTCCCGGTTGAGCTCGGGGTTCCATAAAAAGAGAGAGCGAGGATTGGTTTTCACGTCAAAGGCAAGTTCTTGATTGCTACCGAGTTGGATCTTCAGACTTCAACTTTTTGGGAAGTCATTGGTTTCCATTGGGCCCGAAGTGATGTTCTTGTTTGTTGCAGAGGGGTCGCCACCAAGATTCTTGGTGCCGATAAAGGAGCACCGGGATTTCTGGGTCCCGGCTCGAGTTGGGAGTGCGCCAGGTTTGGGAGGAGATGGATACGAGGTCCCGGTCGCAGGATTCGGGGGGCGAGTATAGCGACGGCAATGAGGTCCCTCGGCGACGGTGGGCTCGGCGGCTATGGCTCGGGCGCGTCAAATCCCAGTAAAGAAACTCGCCTCGGTGTTTTTTTTCTGGCAGGGTTGTGGGATCACTCGGGGTTTATCCCCAGTTCTGTGATACAAGGGAATGCCCTCTTTATATGGGGGGTTCGCCTTTGGCAGGCCCCTTTTGTTGTATCACAGAAGTGGATTCCATTGCCCACAGCCCGGTGTCCGAGCCATTCCCATCGAAGGGAACCTCCAGGAGTATCTCGAAAGTGGCGAGCTCAATGGAAACCACCCCTGCCCCTTTGGTCCACGTTGCCGAACCCACCAAACAGCAGGGATCCATGTTAGCGGAATATCCTCCAACTTCGCCCGCAAAACGTGAGGTTCCATGTTTGTGGATAGGCAAGCTATGTCTGTGTTTTGCCTTGATTCATTGAATTTTGTTTGCATGTGGCCGCCCGAGGCTTTTGCTTTAGATGACGTTTGAAGGGCTGAATGTTAACCCAGTGTATGATTATAGGCTGCATGAAACTGGTATGCATCCAGGCTTATTCAACTATCAATCGCAGCTGAATCATAGGCCACCAGCCTTTGAATGTTCAACCAGACCCTAGCCCCCTTGGGAATCCAAAAGGAGGTTGTTTAAGCAATGGATTAAACATGTTGTTATTATTCAAGGCTGTTGCCTCAACTGTTGCTTGGAGGTTCTTAGGAGTGTGTTTCCTCTTTGGAGAGATCCAAAATGCCATCCAAATCCCCGAGCGCCCCTGGAAGTTGGGGCAACACCTAGCCTTCCGTCCACGTTTTTGTGGAACCTCTTGCTTCGCGATCCTGGTTTGGACGGTTTTCCGCCAAAAAAAAACGCTCTGGTGGGTTCCACGTTGGTGCACGGGAGGGACCTGGAAGAGAAACTTCCTTTTGTAGAACCCCCCCCCTGTCAGCTGCCATGGCAACGTGGGAGTGAGGGTAGCATGCCTAGCATTCCCAGCTGCATGGCCATGCAGCGGCGCACTCCGAGGGTTCTCAAAAGCAAAAAAGCACTTTGGGGGCGGAGGTCGGGGAGGGGAAGTCTCCATCCCTTGGGCATCCCTTGGGCCTGGCTGGGTGTCGCTCTTTGACCCGGGGCGGGAAATCCGGGGCACCGTTTGCTTTTGGGATATCCAAAGCCGCCCACGAGTTGAACCTTTCAACTCCACGGTTCTTGGCAAGTTAAGTTTTTTTTTTTTTGGGGGGGGGGGGGGGTGATTTTTATAAGGGCATTGCACGAAAAACACAGATTTGGTTGCCAAGCCATACCGAGGGGCTGTGAAGTCAACTTGGTTGGAAGACCCTTTGAGTGGCGCACGCAACGCCTGGGCGCTTTTTTGGCCAGTCCACTCGTTCGCAAGTGAGGCGGGAAAGGCCCGAATTCCTGGAAGTTAGCGGCACAACAGCTCCTATCCACAGCTGGAACCCCCCGAAAGCCCCAGCGGCTTAACTCCTTGCATTGGAGGGGGTCAAACCCATACAACCAAAGGAACCAAAGCATGGCGCGCATTTTTATCCATGCCTGGCGACTGATCACTTTGCGGGTTTGTTTTTATTGTGGCTCTATACCCTCCCATTCGGTGGACACGGGTTCCCAATCAGAATTCAGCCATGGAACCGGTCTTTGGCCCCAACGGCCCTGTGCTTGAAGCAAATTCGTGAAGCCTGCCGAATGACACCTCGACTCTCAGTTCAGGCGTATGGGCTTACCTTTACCATGCTGGTATGACCTTCCGGGTGTTGTGAATGAACTGGAATGGGACTTCACTGCCTTGGACCCTAACATTCCCGATTAAAAAAGAGGCAAAACAAAGTCACGTCACCCCACAAAATCTTTCGGGCTAGAACCCGTGTTTCCCGCGGATTTGTTTTCCCTCGGGTCACCACTGGTTCCAGTCGAAAAAGAAGACAAGCAAAAAGAGGACAGGTGTTCAGCGGCTTTTTCCTCGGGTCTTCCGATGCCGATGGTCTCCACTCGGAAACGGGGAAGAAGCCGGGAAGACCGCTGCGAGGCGGAAGACGAGAACTTGCAGAACTTGGCCCCGGAGGCCCAGTTCGAGGCCGCGGTGCGGAACCACGGCCTCGCGCCCTTGGCCAAGTGGGTCCCGGGCGGCGTGGGGCGTGGGGGGTTCGGGTCCCGGGGGCCTTCTTCGAGGTTTTTTTTTCCCAGTGGCGCCCTTTCTCTCACCCCTTTTTGGGTTGGGAGGGTTCTTTCTTGGACGGAAGAACAAGAAGCGGATACCAACTTATCCTAACCTCTCTACTGGAGGATCTGGTTTTGGGGACGGGGTCGGTTCAAAGGATGGGTTTTGGGTAACCTAGGGTTTAGGGTTTAAGGGTTTAGGGGTCCAAAGGGTTAAGGGCTTAGGGTTTGGTGGTTCAGCCCTAGAAATCCTCTCTTGGTGGTAGCCGGAAAGAAAGGAAAGCCACTAGTTTAGATGGCTGGGGATTGGTTGTTGGTTGTTGGAGCCGGACGAAGGGAGCTGGGGTATCCAAATTTTCTTTAAAAGAGAGAGCGAAGGAGCTACCAGGAGTCCTGCAAGGATATGGTAGGGGACTGGGTTGCCTAAGGGCTTTGGAAACTGGCAGGTCTGGTGCTACTCCATCTCAGAAGAAAAAATAGCCTGCGAGCGGGTTGGCTTGAAGCCAAAAGCGGTTATGGAAACAAGGGGCCGAATGAATCACATTTAGTACATGGAATCAGGTTCCCCGGAGAAGTCGCATCAAGAAACAAGATGCTTATGTTTGCTTGTCAACTGATTCAGAGCCATCCCGTGGATGGACGAAATCCATTTCACACCAAACAAACCCAGAAATGATGATTCCCCTGTAAATACCAACATAGGTGATGATTTCAACCATCATAGTTTCAAATTGGTGTGAAATGGATGTCGCAACCATCCACAGCAAAGATAGCCATGGCTGCCCTTGCTGCTTCCAGTGTTGGACCTTGCGACTGCTTTTGCTACCTTCGGGTTTCGGGTTGGTTGCTGGGATCTTCAGACCGGACGCCTTGGGCTCACTTCGTGCACTGCGTTTGGATCTGTATCTTGGCTCCCATTTGGCTTCCCAAGGTTCTCACTGGTTGCACGTGTCAGCGTGCGACTTCGTGCTTGTTTTCAGCATGTGGACCTGAGCTGCGGCAAGGAAGCCTTGTGTCAGTGGCATGTGGTTTCGCTGTCGAGGTGCAGTGGAAATGATTAGCGTATAGTCTCTGGCCGACTTTTTGGCAACTAGTAGGGGACTGGCTCATCTTCCCACGCCTCGTCTAGAGGGTCTGATGTTTCTTTGATCAAGGCTTGCTCCTCCAACTTGAAGAATTTAAACTTCAGGCACTCCGAAAAGGACGACAACTTGCTGGCAGGTCATTGGAAGGAATTTGGGAGCTTTGGGTTTCCAAGTTAGCCATGCAACGGAGCCTCGAGGGAGCTTGGACAGAGCTACCGTCAGGTGGAAAGATCTCTTTGAGTAAACGACACATGGGGATGCGATCCTGAAAGGGAAGGAATGGGAGGGTTCCCCTACTAAATTAGACTACATAAAAATGTTGGTACCCTGAATCTAACCTCTCTACTGGAGGGCCTAGTCGAAAAACCGGATATTGCCCCAATCCTCTCAAGTCAGATGTCCTGGATTCAACATGGTCAGCCAAGACAAGGCCTTGTAGGGAAAGAGGGGAGGTCCCACCCTTTGGCACATGCCGACCCAAACAGACAAGGACGCCACGGACCCTGAACTCACTTCCAGAGCTCCTGGACTTTATGCTTGTTGCCATGACCACTTTAGTGGCAAACAACAAGTTCAGACTTGTTCTGGCCAATCCACTGAGGAAGTGAGTAAGAGTACCAACTTAAAAATGAGGCCGTTGCCCCAAAAGTATGGTGAAATCCCTAGGTTGAGGGTGCAATGGCCTCATTTTGTTCACAGATTCGTGAGAAAGCTCCTGTGACTCGTGGGCTTTGGTTAGGAGCGGTTCCTGGAACTGAACCCGGACACCTTCGAGCAGACAGAGTTCCCTACTGCCATTGTCAAAGCGGCCGCTTCGAGAAATCAAACTGCTCGGAATGCGAGGAAGGAATCAACTCGCGTGGGTTCTTTTTGGTGAATCCTTGAAACCCCTCACTCCCTGAGTTTCTGCCCTTCGTATATGCCTATTTTAGTGGAGAACAACAAGTTTAGTTTTTGTTTGGCCACCCCAAAGTGAGGCTCCGGATCGCTACTACAAGCTTGCTTTTCAACTTTTTAGCTCCAAAAAGTTCAAAACTTTATTTCGGGAAGAGACAGCTCACTTGCCCCTTGGGCGAATCGACCGTGGCCCCCAAAGGCAATCGAAAATGTATTTCTGGGTCCCTAAGAGGCAGCTGAGAATACTTACTCCCTGACTTCCTGGTTCCTTGAGTCACTTGGCCTGCCTTTTGTCTTCTTGTGACTTGAGGGGTAAAACAAGCTCACCATGTAGCCCTAAGGGTCCATGTACCTTCTGAGGAAGGTCTTTCGAAGTGAGTGCTCCAGCACTGTCGTTCACCAAAAACATGCCCAGCATGGTCGGAGTCCCCATGTGCGTGCTGAGGCCTTTTTGGGGCCATATGGCTCGTCAAGGTCGCAAGGAAACGTTGTATGAGCATGTTTGATTTACACATGGTCCATGCACATTCTCAGGACGGTTTTTCGATCGTGAGATTCTGGGCAGCACGTGCCCCCGAAATGTGGCGGGAGGGCCCATGTACGTGCTTGGACACTTTCCGGGCCCAACCGCTCGATCCTAAGTGAGGGGCATATATCTTTCCACACTCCAGCACTCATACTTCAATCAATTGTGTTCAACCCATGCCTTCCTTGCGCCCTTTTGACCCTTTGTTTTGTAGATCTTTCGACTGCAGTGCATCAAGTGGGTTAGAGCACGCTAGCCCAGGAATCCAACCCAACGATGCCAGTTTTGGGCAACTCGAAGAGGGGACTAGAAACAAGCAGGTGCTGAGCAAACTGTTGCCTTTTCTTGGTGTGGGGGTTTCGTGGCTGCGGGATTTGTAGCTGGACTAGTCTCATGCAGAGTTGGAGCCAATGCGTGAGTTCATTCAGGCTGCAATCAAGCGCTTTACTAACCCGATGCTGATGTTCAGAATATGCCTCCCCGAGAAACGCTTGAGGGAGCAGCATCAGCGCATTAGGTCACTCAGCAGTGAGAGCCGTCCGACAATGGCTCAATTGGCCTGGTAGTCCAACAACGCCAAACCTCGTCAGTGGTGCAGCGACCCATGATGAGTGTGTTCAGTCTGCCCATGCCCCGTGACGTCGGAGCCCTGGGAGGTAAATTCTGTGGGCCGTCAGGACTTGGAAACCGTTTTGCTCAACTTGTCCAGTGTGTTCTGTAAAAAAACAAGCATGCAAGTTTGCGACTCTGGAAGCTGGGGCTGCTTAGCCGTTCTTACCGAGCAAGGCTTCTGCAAGATGTCGATGATGGCCTGACGCGTGCGCCCTTGGGCGTTGCAAGTTTGCCAATTGCAGTGTTTGTGTGTGTGTGTGTTTTCTCGGCCTACTGGTGTTCCTCTTTTTGGGGCATGTGGGCGCTGATCGGAATGCACGCGTTACCCTCGATAACTGGCAACCCTGGCCTTTTTTTAAGCAATTCTGAAGCAATATATGCCTCAATTCTACATTACATTAAATTAGGATCTTCTGATTTGGCGTAGTGTCCAGGGTGGGCTCGAGGATGTGACGTGTGGCTGCCTGACATTGAGGTTGGTAGCGCAAAAGGCAATGTGCCCCAAGCGAGGCCAGGCTGCTGTGTAAGTCAACCGCAACTCGGCTAGCGCTGGCAGCCTCGACAGCCAACCTTTACCGCGTCATCCGTGTATGAGTCCACGAAGACCTAGGCCGAATCGCCACACTCACAGATCAGTCATAATCTATTCAGGGTGCACGTCGTCTAGGTTTGGTGGGACCGCTGGGGCTAAATGAATAGAACCGGCTTCCAAGCGCGCACGCAGCATAGTTTGGGCAGCCCTGCAATTGTCTTCGAAAACAGCCCCAACCAGAGTATAACCAGACAATATATTACATTGGTGATCTGCCTGGATATGCAAGGCTTGCAGACGCCCCCCCCCTCCATTTTCAGCGAGAAACTGCGTGGCACGCTTAAAACACATAAAAGAAATCGGGAGCTTCTCCTGACCAGTCTTCGCAACACCACAAGTTTGTTTCGCATGGGGCCCGGTCCAAGTAGCAACTATTGAAGCTATTGAAAGAAGATCTTCAATTGACACCTGCCCATGTACAACTGGTGGGCATGCAGGAGTCACTGATCGGGTGCGTTTGGGATGTGTTGAATTGGAAGCCCTTTTCTGACACCTATTCATGTACAGCATTCGCGCAATCGTTTGAATAGGCTTTCTCAGTGCTTTCGGGATGATGGGACAGGAAGCCCTTGTTGAGCCATCTACCCACGTCTAGACAAATGGCTCAACCTGTGCCTTGATTTGGCTGCACTGGGTGGGTTTTGCGGTTCCGCAGTGTTAGGAAGAATTTCAAGGCAATGCTTGGTTGAACGGTGATGCGAACCAAGCAGCGTTAGATTTGCGTTAGATTCGTGAAAATTGCGTTAAATGACCGTGCTGGGCAACTTTCCAGCGTTAGATTTGCGTTAGATTTCGTTAGATTTCGTTAGACTCCCCATGGAAATGCGAATTTGAAGTGGCCAAATATTTGGAGGGTTGCCGAGCGCCTGACGAGCTGACCCAGAATCCCGAATAATTCCTCATCAGAATGCTGGCCTTGTCTCAAAACAAACGTGCGCAACTTGCCCACACACTCGTCTCAGGCTGGGCCACTTAGAGGCTTGTGTGCTTTGTCGCACACGGCATTTCTGGAAAAAAGTCAAATTCAGCATGTTTTCCGGAAATTGGCTTTGCACCCCAAGGTGCAACCAAAGGTCCAATTTTGGAAACAAGCACACACCTCAAACCCCCCTCAGGGCGGCGAGGCCATGAGTGTGTTTAAGAGCTTTGGGGTGAAGTGCATCATCCTACTTGGACCCCATGCGAAGCAAACTTGTGTGTTGCGAACACTGGTCAGGAGAAGCTCCCGAAAAAAGGGGAGAAAAAAAACGTGCCAACCAGTTTCTCGCCGGAAATGGGGGCGTCAAGCTGCAAGCCCTGCAAATCCAGGCATATGTTGTCTGGTTGGGTCTGTTTTTCGAAGACAACTGCAGCGCTCCCTGTTAAAACTGCGGCTTGCCCAAACTATGCCGCTTGCGTGCTTGGAAGCCGGTTCCATTCAACAGGTTAAGGGGTCCCACCAAACCTAGACCATGCGCACCCTGAATAGATTATGACCGATTTGTGAGTGTGGCGATTCGGCCTAGGTCTTCCTGGTGGACCCACGCACGGATAACCAGGGTCAAGGGCTACGCGGTAAAGGTTGGCTGTCGAGGCTGCCAGCGCTAGCCGAGTTGCGGTTGACTTACACAGCAGCCTGGCTTCGCTTGGGGCACATTGCCTTTTGCGCTACCAACCTCAATGTCAGGCAGCCACACGTCATATCCTCGAGCCCACCCTGGACACTACGCCAAATCAGAAGAACCTAATTTAATGTAATGTAGAATTGAGGCATATATTGCTTCAGAATTGCTTAAGAAAAGGCCAGGGTTGCCAGTTATCGAGGGTAACGCGTGTATTCCGATCAGCGCCCACATGCCCCAAAAAGAGGAACACCAGTAGGCCGGGAAACCACACACACAAACACTGCAATTGGCAAACTTGCAACGCCCAAGGGCGCACGCATCACGCCATCATCGACATCTTGGCAGAAGCCTTGCTCAGTAAGAACGGCTAAGCAGCCCCAGCTTCCAGAGTCGCAAACTTGCATGCTTGTTTTTTACAGAACACACTGGACAAGTTGAGCATAACGGTTTCCAAGTCCTGACGGCCCACAGAAATTACCTGCCAGGGCTCCGACGTCACGGGGCATGGGCAGGCTGAACACACTCATCATGGGTCGCTGTACCATTGAGGAGGTTTGGCGTTGTTGGACTACCAGGCCAATTGAGCCATTGTCGGACGGCTATCAATGATGAGTGACCTAATTCGCTGATGCTGCTCCCTCAAGCGTTTCTCGGGGAGGCATATTCTGAACATCAGCATCGGGTTAGTAAAGCGCTTGATTGCAGCCTGAATGAGCTCACGCATTGGCTCCAACTCTGCATGAGACTAGTCCATCTACAAATCTCGCAGCCACGAAACCCCCACACCAAGAAAAGGCAACAGTTTGCTCAGCACCTGCTTGTTTCTAGTCCCCTCTTCGAGTTGCCCAAAACTGGCATCCTTGGGTTGGATTCCTGGGCTAGCGTGCTCTAACCCACTTGATGCACTGCAGTCGAAAGATCTACAAAACAAAGGGTCAAAAGGGCGCAAGGAAGGCATGGGTTGAACACAATTGATTGAAGTATGAGTGCTGGAGTGTGGAAAGATATATGCCCCTCACTTAGGATCGAGCGGTTGGGCCCGGAAAGTGTCCAAGCACGTACATGGGCCCTCCCTGCATGCTGGCCACATTTTGGGGGCAAATGCTGCCTAGAATCTCGCGATCGAAAAGCCAGACCATGTGGGGTGCTTAGTTGCTGATCAGTGTTGTTGGTCCCCCTATGCCCACACGCTGCCCCAAAAGTGTCTCAGCATGGACGCGGCCTCAAACCTGGTCTTAGCATGTACGGGAATGAGAAGTACTTCCTCAGAAGCTACGCGGGACCCTAAGGGTAGGTTCTGTGGGGATGCAAGTCTTATTTCCGGTTTTGGCAGTTTAACATTTCAGACTTGTCAAACACCGGGGGACTTTTTCTGATCGATCCGAAGTGAGTTGATGTTCCATTAGTTTCAAGAGAGACACAGCCACGTGCTTGTTGGGGGTTCCGCGCCACTTCCCCCCCCCCCCCCCAAAGCAGCCCCAAAACCCCTCATTGTACTCCAAAGAGAGTTTGCAAGGCTTCCACCCTGACTCGCCTCTTCATTTACTTCAGTTGCCGTTTTGTTTGTTTGTGTGAAAACTTTGCTGCTTTGACTTTTGGAGCAGAAAAAAACCTGGTTTGACCACAGCCCGTTGAATACGTGATTGGTGTACCCTGTACTTGGGCAACAGTGTTCTCACATTTTGCGGGCGTACCCTGGACGTGCAACGCAAGCTCTGAAGAGAACTTGGGACCCTTCTGGACTTGGTTTTTTAGCTAAAAGAAAGCTCTTTTTCGTGTTTCGTGGTCGGATTTCCATTTAACCCACTCAAAGTTATGTTTACTTTTAAAAATCTGCAAACGGGCAGTGTGGCGGAGGTTGCAGCCCCAGAACATCTCCAAACCAGACACTGGGCCGCCTCGTTGTTTGAGGCTGCCCATTTTGGTGCGTGGGTTTAGCCAGCCCTTGGTTAGCCGCTCTTTGGTTTTTAGCATATTTTAGCGGTAAACAAAAAAAGTTCGCTTACTTTCATGGCCAGTCCACTCGATCGGAAGTGAGACCCCCCCTCTTACCCCCTCTTACCCCCCCCCTTGTTCCCCCCCCCGCTCCCCTTGTTACACCCCCCCCCCCCGACCTGAAGCCACTCAGATCTCCACTCCAAGTCTTCCCCCAAAAAAATCACGGGCATTCCGCCCACGTGACTCGTACGTGACTCACGTGCCACGTGGATGCGCGGATTTTGGGTCCGAGGTCCAGGAGATGTGGCAGACGTGGACAAGCGGCCCCGAAGGAAGGGAGGCCCGGGGCGAAGCCTTCTACACCCAGCTCTTCGACGCGGCGCCCAGTTTGCAGCGCCCTGGCCGCACTGATTTGTTTTTATATTTTTGGTGTGTTTTCTTCTTTTTTTCGGGGCGTCTGGTCCCCAGGTAGATCTTCTGAGCGTTGGTGCTTTTTGTTTTCCGGTTTTTGCGGGTCGTCTGGCCCGCAGAAATTGCGCCAAAACCCGAAAGAATCAGAGCTGTTTTTGCTTCTTCTTCTTCTTTTTTTCGGCCTGCTGGTCCAACGGCTTTCAATTTTGTTTTCGGGCCTGCTGGAATTTCCCACGCAGGAATTCCGAGAAAAACCAGAAAGAATCAGTCAAGTGACCTTTAAAGCAAATCCCAGCTGGCTTGCTTTTGTCGACGGGTTTTTTGGGCCTGCTGGTGCCCAGGTAGATCTTCCGAGCTTGTTTTTTGGTTGTTGTTCTTTCTTTTTCGGGGCGTCTGGTCCCCAGGTAGATTCCAAAAGAATCATTCAAGTGACCATTTTTTCCCTCTCGGCCAGGGTCACCGGTTGCAAGTTGGTTGGATCTGTAAAACAACCCACATGATCACGCCCTTGTTAAAGCGAGTGACATAGGTAGACATGTGTACACCTGTGTTTGGCGAACCCATTTTGGAAAGGACTTTCCTTGCAAATCAACCGCACAAATCCCCAGCCCAAGACCCTTTGTCCAAATACCCTCCCACCGACTTACACGGAAGCAGACCCCTGTAGCAAGACTACTTTCCCTTTGGAAAGGGGCACAGCACTTCCAGGGTAACACTCGAGTACTGCTCGGGCTGCTCCGGGCCTTTCATGTTCTCTGATTCGGAGCCATAGCTCACGATTCCCCAGGGGAGGAATCGACCGGAGACCTTTTCGTCTCCTCTTGGTCCCTGTTTAGAGAAACCCCACAAGGTGATCAATGCGACCACTTCTGGGTTCCCAAAAGGGCAACTGAGAAACTGGGGAGCCACAGCCAAATGGATGGGCCACAATCCTCCCATGTTTCCCCGTATATCATGTTGAGACCACTTTCGGGTAGATCATCGAAGTTCCCGTGCCGGTCAGCTTTGAGCATGCATTGCTGAATGCTTTCGACTTTTGGAGATTCTTTGTTGCCTCAGTTGTCCAAAGCGACCTTTTGACCTTTTGGTTCTCCCATTTTGGTCCATTTTTGGTAGTGCCAAAAGGTGATCACCTTTCAGTTCTGGGTCCTTTGGGCAGAGTTGCAGCTCTGTGTCTTAATTCGCTAAACCGTGTTTTTTTTTTGGCACCGGCCAAGCTTTTACCCCATGTCGGATTCATCGGGATTTGGAATTCAGATGCCGGCTCCCTAAGAGAAACAAAGAGAAGGCCAACACACTCTTCTGAGATAGCCTGAAAGGGAAGGGGGTCTTGCTCTCTCTTATTTTTAGCGGATCCCGCCCCCCAAAAAAAACAGGAGGCCCTCATTTTTTCGTGCCCTATAGATCAAAATAGACTAAATTTCGGCTAAATTGAAACTTGCTCCTTTCAGGGCCGGGTGTCAAAATTTTCGGTTTCGCCAGGATCGTGTTCAAGAGCCCCAAGGCCGTGATGGTGGCTTGGCAATGGGGGCTTCGGCTACTACGGATTGTACCCGATGGATTCTTGGGCTGTTTCCCTTGCAAAAAGTCGCGATCTTTGGGGAGAAAACCCACCTAGATGTTGAAAATCTAATCTTCACGGCTCTGGCAAGTTGTTCGTTTTTTGTTGTGTTATTTTTCTTGTTCACTTTCAAGTTTGGAGGCTGCAAAAAAAACAAACCCGTTATTTGCCAAACATACCCAGGGTTGTGAAGCTATTTTTGCCCGATGGGTAGAAAAAGCCCAGGATCCCCGTTTAGCTTTAATGGAGCACACCCTATCAACCAGGAGAAACCATCAGAGTTTAACTCAGGCTGATCCGCCTTCTTTGTGCTGATGTGCATACTGTTTGGTCCCCCCTGTTGGTTTAAAAAGGGTTCTGTCACTGGAAGTATGGCTTTGTTTTTTCCAGGAAGCGAACAAGCAGAGGCCGCTGGCAATTCTTTTTTTTGTGGGTGCACCCGAGTTGGGAAATTCAGCTGGATCTCCTGGAAACCGGCGCTTTCAGGCAGAGGGGTTTCGGAGGAGCTGAGACATACCACTTGTACAAGGGGTAAATAGACAGCCTTACCAGCTTATATTGGTGGCATATTTGCACATCGGAATCCAACATGTCTACATGTACATCCAAAACTCACACCTGCAAATGCCAACTTGATCCTATTGCAACTGTGCAACGGGACTTGTTATAACTCTCCTTCACCGTTGTTGCCAAGTTTTAGTTTGTTTGGTTCTGTTGAATTTTAGCAGGCTGCAAAACAAAGCAAAGTTGCTTGCTACCATACCTAGGTCCCCCCGTAGTGCCCTTTTACCCGTTTTTTGGGGAGGGTTCCCCTATTTAAAATAAACAAAACCGAAAAAAAGTTGGGTACCCTTAGTCTAACCTCTCTAATCTGGAGGACCTAGATACTAAGGCTAAGTGTCCTCCAACTTCAGCTCTTGGAGCCTCCTTGGGTCATCTCCCCGGCCCCGTTTTTGGGTTTGCTTGGGATCGGAAGCAACAGGTCTCGGGGCAAGCCAATGACATCGGGGTGGTACATCCCGACAGCCCTGTAACTCTGTCCGGAAGCCGTTCTGAAAGCTACCCCAAACCATGCCGAACGAGCCTATTTGGGTTTATCGGTCAACCATGGCTTTTAGATGGGGAAGAAGGGGTAATCAAGGCAGAAAAGGAGGGTCCTATGGTCAGGTGTCTTGACACCCCACGGATTCGTGTGCCGATGTGGCCCCTTCAGCAGGCGAATCGACCAGATCTCATTTTTTGCCCTTGGCCGGCAGAATCGATGTTTTGGACCCAAAACTTCAGTGTTCTTGGGTCAAGTTGTGTGTTTGTGTTTTGTTTGGTTGTGTCACACCTGTCTTTGGGTTAACAAGCAACTGAGGCAGCCCTCAATCGGTTTGGGGATTTGAACCACTGGTTCTTGCAGAGGGTAAGAGGACACCATTCCTGGCACACCTGGAAGCCACCAAGCCAAACCATCAATTTGGAGTAAGGCGATAACCTCAACCCTCCTGAAGATTCATTCTCCGGCCTTTTCCTAGGCGTTTTGGTTTCCTGGTAGTTTTGGGCGTGTTGGACGTTCTGAATGCTTTCTAGGAGTTTTGGGCGACCCCCGAACCCAAACAGCATTTTTTTTCTGATTTGCGGGCGTTTGCGGGGTTTTGCGGGCGTTTGCGGTCTTTTTGCGGGCGTTTGCGGGTAACTCCGGGCGGGGAACATGTAACAAAGGACCAATTCTGCAATCTCACGACCCTTTCGGAGTTTTAGTAGTTTTAGATGACTTCACTAAAAACTCATCGATTTTGAGGAAAAGCAAGTTAAAGACGAAATCTACCAGGAAATTCATGAAGAATTAATCTCCAGGCTGGGCAAATTATACCGACGGCACCGGGGAGGGGGTGCTATATCAGCCATGAAGCTGTTTGATAGCAGGGATCCCTTATTTTTGTTTTGTGTTTTCTGAATGATGCCCAAACTTCATAGAATCTGTGATGTTTCGTAGGTTTCACGCTCACCCTTTCGGGAAAGCAAGCGACAGCCCGAGTCCGTAATTCAGTTGCTTGAACTGTTTCTATCAAGTTGCGGATTATTCTCTTGTCATCATGACTTGATTGGCTTTCAATGCCCCCCCCCACCCCCCGCAACCGCAAGCGCAACCGCATTCTTGTTATTCACGCCCCAAATTTTGGGGTCTCCCTCCCATATGAAACAGAATCTGAACATATCGCAAACATGGATGTGGGTGAAGGCAGAAGGACTGGCCCCTACTGCTGACCAGACGGGTGCCACCTTTGGGGTGGTTTGTTTGGTGCAGGCGCTGAATGCCGGCTGTTGCTTAACTGGCACTTGGCTTCTTAGATCTGGTTCTGTGGATGTTGCCAGCCCCGAGAGCAACCAGACCTAGTAATAAGAGAAACACACTTCTACCTTCTCTTCAACATGTCAGCATGAATCAACATAATGCTTTGTTACATTTTGCTTGGATGTTAGGACTTAACTTTTGTCAACTAATGGGTTTTCCATTAAACCACTAAAAGTTGAACTTTTGGCAGGGGAGCAGAAAGCCACCGAGAATGGTCGTGCCCAGCGTGTTCCCCCTGGACATCCAGAAAACTTGGTTGAAAGACCGCGCTTGCGAGCGAGTCGAGCGCTTCGAGCGCTCAGGCCATGCGTTTCATGACGGGCTTGGGTAGTCTCATCTCGGTGATGGGGAAGCCCAGTGCGCTCTTCACCACCGTGGAGGGTATGGGCTTCAGGCGCGATGCCCCGAAGCACTCGCGCCCGCGCCTTTTTTTGGCACGAGCTTTTGGCGGGTCTGGGCTTCAACTCACTTGGTGAGTTCCTGGACTTGGTACCGTTGTAGTAGACTCTTGCCGGCCAGTCCACTCCGGAAGTGGGTTCCTCATTTAATTAAGCACCAGTGATTAGATATAGGTGTGTCTTTTTTGCAGGGGACCGTCCCAAATGGTTAAAGAAAGTTTTGGTGGTTCCGCCCGCGTTCGCTTTCGCGCAAGAAGGGCATGGCTTAAAGAAAAATACCTTCGGCGGTTCTGCTTGATAGCAATTTGGTTTGCCGGATCTTTGGACTTGAACTTTTTGGTTGGGACAGACTTTCATTGGACCCACAAAAAGGTTAGTTAGTCACATACTCACACAAAGCAACATATTTTTGTGGATATTCACAAGCCCACACACGCCCTCAGGACCGTATGCTGGTGTGGAGCAAGCCTGGTCTCGCCAGCTTTGACTGTTTTTTGTGTTTTTTTTGGTGCGTGCTAGTTGATCTTCAAACTGGAACTTCTTGGGATGATGCATGTTCCAAGCAGCAAGGTGAACTTAGGGGCCCGCAATACTCAGTTCAAAAACATGTACCAAAATAGCACCTTGGCAAATCAAACCAAAGACCAATACCTGCGGTTTACCCTAGCTCTTTAATTTTGAGCCACACCCACTTGTTCAGTGCATTGTGAGTCTCGTTGAAATACGCAAAAGCTCCATGGGGAGACAAGGCTACAGGACTTGAAAGGAGGTCTCTATAAACATGATCTGCACATGTCGGCCTTTGAGTCATTGAGCGCGCGGGCATCCATTCATTGGCTTCATTGGTTTTCTTTGCCCTGTTAACGTTTTAAAGGGAATCGGTCACTCTTGGACCATTTTTTCCCCAGGGGGCGAAGAAGCAAACGGAAGTTGGTGGTTTGGACCCCGGCGGTTTGGATGTTGGCGGGCGACGGGGAAACCACCCCAGCCACACCACCAAGCCACCAACCCGAACCAATTGGAGGGAAGCTGACATGATCTCGTTTTCGTCATTTTCGGGGCTGCAACCCACTTGGAATTGGAGCCTTCCACTTAATCTACCAGGGACACAGTGGGCAACTGGGCTGGAACAAGGCGAACATGAGGAACCTTGAAACGGCGACATTTCCTCTTGGCTGCCTTCTAATCTGTCCCAGCGGTTCGTCCGGTTCGACTTAGGTTTTTAGAGAGTTTTTAGTTGGTTTGGTAGAGCTTTCCATTTAACTCACTAAAAGTTGTCGACTTTTGCCGGGTTCAGTTTGGACAGCCCAGTTTCAGCAAACCTAAATGTAGGAAGCGCCATAGGTGATGTCTTTCTTCTGTGCTTCGAAGCAGCTCCGGAGGGATGGGTGTCTTTCACGCATGTGAGAAGGCCGAGGAACGTGCATTGTGTTGCTGTTTGGGCGTGTTTGGTTGGATCTTAAGACATGAGCCTTTGGGAGATTTGGATTGCAGAATTCGTGGATGAGATGCAACTCCAAGCAAACGCTTGAAGCAGCAAAAAACCACTGGTACCCCCTGTTTTGTTTGTTCTTTCTTTCTTTGTTTTTGTTTTTTTTTTTTTGGGGGGGGGTGGTCTGCCAGAAATCCCGGAGCCAAAGAACCAAACCTTTCCATGCGTCACTGGTCGCTCTCAGTTGCCCAAAGTCAACCTTTTGACCTTTAGTTCTCAGTGTTGGTCATTGGCATGGCCCCAAAAGGTGATCACCTT